ATAAGACTACCATTTACTGGGTCAGCCCATAGGTCCATCTTGCTGAGTGTCATACAGGGTGTCTGTACACAAGCCAGGAGCCTGCTCTGACTCACTGTAATTACAGTGTGTCGGAGCAGACTTGATTTATCAAGTCTGCCAGAGCGTGGTAACTACTGCACTCCAGCCAGCCTCCGCATCTTGTTTTTAAGCAACCCTGGGCATCAAAATGACAACAGAGGTACTTTAAAGCTTGTTCGACAAGCTTTAGATAAAGCGCCCCTGCCACAATTTTGAAGCATGGGGTGCTGATACATGAGATGCTCCAGGCATTTTAATTAGAGTAACTCCTGGATCCACACTAATTAAAGTGCCTCTCCCCACCTCCCATAATGCCCATAGTGGCACAGAGTGGAGGCTGAAAGGGAGAGTGAGCAGGGTATGTCCACAGTTTTTCCCACTGTTTCTCTCTCACTTGTATTCTCCAGCATTTAAAGTCCAGGAAGTTCTGATTCAGAGGCTGTGCCCCGAACTCCCATACACAAGAGCTGCTGATGCCCCTTTCCTCCAAGAATTTGTCCAATCCCTTTTTGAATCTGGCTAAAGTGTCAGCTCCCACAACCTCTGGTGGCAATGAGTTCCACATTTTAATTACACACTGTGTGAAAACAAACTTCCTTTTGTTTGTTTTAAACTTACTACCTACTAATTTTATTTTGTGATCCCTAGTTTTTATATTGTGAGAGATAGTAAAGAATAAATCCCTATTTACTTTCTCTTCACCATTTGATATTACATAAACCCTTATCATGTCCCCCAAGTATCTCTTTTCTAAACTGAATAGGCCTAGCCTCCTTAGTCTCTCCTCATATGGAATCCCCTAAATACCACTAATCATCCTTGTTGCCCTTCTCTGTACCTTCTCTAGTTCCTTTCTGTATCCTTTCTGAGGTGTGAAAAGGTATGGGAATTGGGCACAGTATTCAAGGTATGAAAGCACCATGGGTTTATAACAGGGCATAATGATGTCGAGTAAGGGAAGGGGGACTGTCTGAGAGGATCCAGGTATTCTGCACTATTATTATAAAGCCTTTTTGTCTCTTGCGATTTCTTGGCACGTCTTTGAGTATTTAAGAGCAGGTTTCTGGTGAAAGCCTGTTTCTTTGTGCAGTTAGCAGCTGGCACTGGACTGTTTAAAAAAATCTCTTTCTGCTCATCTTTTAAAAACATGAGAGTCCCCAAGCACATAACTGGACAGTGCCTCATATGATCTGTAATAAGTGAAGCTTGACCTGTGGAACTGAAATGAATCAGTCATGTTGGAGATGTTTTTTGCCTATGTAGAGCTTATTCCTCTGAAGGCACAATAGAAATACTGGGAGACAAACACTCATCTTTGGCCTAAAACACACAGCTCCTATAGGTTGACTACATAAGAAACCAAAGTATTATGTGTGTTAGCGTTTGCCATTTCACTAGCAGTCTGTGCGTCTGCCTGCCCACCTAATCCCTTTGCATAAAAAATTGCCAAAATAGCTATGCCAATTAGCAAGCTTAGAAAAAAAAGTCACACCTCTGATATAGCCATGCCAGCAAAATCTTTGTGTAGATGCAGCAGCAAAAATGTCCCTTTGAGTCCTTTCATTGCCATTGCTTATTCTTGTATAAACTGCATCAACACTAGAGTTTGCCAGCATATCGCTACCTGAATAGCTTTTCTAGTGTATACAAGGCCATAGGGGGTTATACCACTGCCTATCATGATTCATATTGTTGTTTGTAGACCTTCCACATCTATAGCAATAACAAAGACCCTAATGGGCTTCCTGGAGTCTCTGGTATATCTCCCTTTTCAAGTTAAAAGCCCTGCCTTGGGGTAGGGTTTTTGATTTTTTTTAAAGGTGTACTCAATTCAGTTGGTAGTGCACAAGTTTGGCTTTTTTGTTTTTTAACAAAGGATGCCAGTGTTGTATGGGGAAAAGGTCTCCAAAGTACAGCTGAAGCCAGGTTGGGATTTTGATAGACCCTTACATGGTGCTATGGAGGAGTGACACGTTTCTCAACCCACTAGCTATAAAGCCAGAGACCTGCAGACTCAGTGTGTGTCCAGCCTAGCTGAAGAATTGCTTATGTGACTCCTACAGCTCCTCTGTACCATAAGAGAGACTGCAGACTCCAATCAACAGGGGAAAAAATAACAATGTCCTTGTTGGAAGAGGAGAAGAAAAACAATATCCTTTAAATGTGTATTAATTAAGAGATCATTATGTGTAAATACAATTATAACAGATAAGAAAATGTGTTTTAGAAGCAATTGGTATGCAAATAAAATTATACAGTTCTCTTGTGGCTGCAACAGAAAATAGTCTTATCTAGATTCAGTGTTTCTTATTACTTAATTACCTCTCCAGACTTTCCCTATTTCTAGTAAAATGCCACTTGCTTGTGTTATTATTTGTTTGATTATGATATGGGACAGGGGTGGGGTTTAACCCTTGTCCTCATTCAGATCTTCAATCTATCTGAGACATCTGAAAAAAGGAATGTAATGTTAGATAGAAAAGTAACAGCAGTGATTTCTTTTATTCCTTTTTATTCAGATCTCCTTTATGCCAAAGACATTTGGGGACAGCTTTTTAGAGGTAGGTAGACATCTAGAGGTACAGCGAGTCACATAGGGCCACATTTTTAAGGAGTTTCTGATGCCCATGGTCTCGCCCAGGCATCTAGCAGGGCTTTCAGAAATGCCTAGCACTGAGCTCTGATTAGTGTCATATGAGCATTAGATTTTTAGGCAGTGCACTGCTCAGCATTGCGAGGCCCAAGAGGCTTAGACAATTAAGTCCCAGTTTTATAAAGTAACTTTGGGCTTAATCCACAAAAGGCATTAACAGTGAGTATGCAGCCCAGAATAAATGAATATTTATGCATCGTATATTAAACATTCATTGGAAAATATGATTAAAACTAAATCAGGGCACATCTACACGTGCATTAATGCGCCATTCTTGCTGCTCAATAAGTTTAGTAGCTGAATTAACAGGTACTAACTCAATTTGCAGAAACTGGTGCTATTGAGCAGTAGCAACGGTGCACAGCCTTTTAGTGATGCTAATGCGCAGTAGATCAATTCTACTGCACATTATCATGGCTTTTGCCATGACGTGTTAATGTGCAGTATAATTAGTTTACTGCACATTTAGCATCTTGTGTAGACGCATCCTCATTGGAGCAGGGACTGGAACCAAGCTCTCCCCTCTCCAGGCCCTGACCACTAGGTCACAGAATCAAGCTCCCTGCTGCTCTCTCTCTAGCCTAATGCATTTTTAACATTTCTTACAAATCAGAACAGCTTTAAGAGGCAAAACTGAGATAGATGTTCTCGAACCCCTAGATAGCCTATAGCATAGTCGCCAAGGCATTCTACTGGGAGACGCACATTCAGAACCCGCTGGTAGGCCCACCAGCTTCAGTGGGTGTCCCAATCCAAAAGGGCTAAAAAAGACAGAGTTGGTAGATCAACCTTTCCACTAACACTACCGCAGACCTAGGGTGGGATGCACGAAGCCAGGGATGTTGCTGGTGGCAAGTTCCTTTTCTGGGTGGAACAGCAATGCTGGTAGTGGAAGAGTTTAGTCTGTAAGGAATATGGAGTGCTGAATCAGGCCTTTGAATATTACTTTTTGTTCATTTCTGCTGCACCAACTTCTTAATGTGGGAATCCCTGAGGACAGTAAGGACAACCAATTAGATTTAATATTCATACAAGTCTTAATCTATGCAGAGTGCTTAGAAAAGTCAAATGAAATTGGAATATGAAATCATTACTAAAACATGACAGCTACTTTTGATCAGATATTGTTTGTACAAAGTGCTTTAAAATAATTCTTTGAAATACCACTGTAGGCTCAAGCAGGGAATTCATTTCCACCCACTCAAGCCAGAACATACCAATGCAAACCAAATACCAGCACAGTATTAACGAGCAGCTTTGAACCCAGGTAATAAATCAGCAGCAGTTTTATCTTGTGCATGTTTTAATTAGTGATGTGTCACTTTTCACAATGGAGAAGAAAGAGGAACAGAGTTTTGGTGGTTTGAGGAATAGCATGTTTTTGTGTCCTGCTGCCTGAAGGAACTCCACAAAAATGCCACATTTCATCTCTTTGGGCCCATCTCAGGGAGGAAGAAAATGTTAAATCATAAAGCAGTAGTGTGTGATTACCAATTACCAATTAAAAATACATCTAGGCAGAGTGAGCAGGAACAGAGCCTAGTAGGGTGAGTCTTGCTCCTAAGGAATGCCTTCCTGCCAGGAAAGAGGCACTCTATTATCAGGGAAATCAGTCTATCAAGGGGAGAGCAATTTTCCCCTGATTGGTGTGTGAAACATGACATCCACCAGCTCTTAAATCATTTATATTTTACTTTTTTATGATGCAATCGTGAATTAGCTCACTCTGCATTTGTAATTAGAGTGTGGAACAGATGGCCAGGGCTTAGTTCAGGGTGATAAATCCATTAAAATAACTTACAAGAAGCTGCTGCTACTGTGGCTGCTGCCAAGTAATTGTTCATTCAGATGCTTTGTTCAGGGTTTGTGCTTTGGTTGGAAGAAGGACTTTTAAAATTGTCAGTGAATTAAAGTGCCAGGGACAGGACTGAAGCAGGGAGGGGCATTTTAGGGGTCACACAAATTTTTGCTAAATGCTTTAGCTGTTTTCAAAAAAGTTATTTGTGTAACCTGCATTAGATAAGGGACGGGGGAGAAAGGAATAGCTGAAATAGCTGCTGCACACTGACTGCCTGTGTGGATACTCTTATTCCACACGTGAGTGCCTTTTTATTCCATTTTAGAAGTGCATTAAGCTTAGCTGTACAAACACATTCTGAGTGCAGAATAAGAATGTCCACACAGAGAGTTACTCAAGAATAGGTACTTTGCTTTAAATCCACCCTCTAATTTATTTTTCAGTAAGGTCCCCATGGAGAAAAACCCATGGTATTTGATTACAATAGACTGAATTCCAGACCCAGATGCCAGCAGAGGGCTTCCACTGAAGTTAGTAGAAGCTTTGGTTGAAGTTAGTGCATCACTTGACAATACGGCCCTTTTA